TGATATTCCCAGAGTTTGTTCTTTGCCATTGAACGGTATTCTCACAGTGTAAGTACCATCTTTCTCTCTGGTTGTGTTTAGAGCATATTGTTCCTCACAGATCTCCTCATATTTAGTCATTTGTCTTGGTTCGCAGATTTCCTCTATTTCCCAGAATTTCGTTAGCTATAGATCTTCTTGAATGCCGGTTGGCACAGTTAGAACCTGGAGTTTTTTATCTTTGTTAATTCCAGTGTTTCCAGAACATATTCATCCGAATTCGGTGTTTTGTCCCAGTATGCCATCATTCGTTTTCCTGACACCTTCGAGTAAAATCTGAACGTATTCTCTGGCGACCAAAATTATGTCAATCGGACCAGCTTCTGAATTGTAGGATCCGCCACAAGGTCATTGTTCCACTGAGATATATTGACATCTAATGGCTTTCCGAGTGATGTCTGTGTGAGTTTTGACAGCACAAGGAACACGATGTCCAACGAGAAGTTGCTTGGAAATCATGGGTGGATTGTTGTTTGTATCTGCCATTTTGCTGTCTGGGGGTCTCTTGCACCAAGACCTGATATCTCGACTCTGATTTTTTTCCTGGGTAATAATGTGTGATAAAAGATGACCGGGACCCGGAATCTTCTAGGACTCGTGAATTCTCGTAGTTTCCTTGTAATTTTTTCACTTTTAATAATGCTGTAGCTAACAACACCATTTCATCTTTTCTGCTAGCGTGGTTTGTAGTTTGCTCTTTGTTTCGGCTTCCACGATGATAAGAATGATTATCTCCTGGTGATCTTTTTTGTTGATTTTTATTTTGAGGAAAGTCTACGTGAACATGGGTATGGTGAGCTTTATTGCAGATTCGGCATCGACCGGTGGAGGTGGATGTTATATTGTCATCATGATTGAGACAATTAATACACAGTTTCTCCTCCTTAACTGTGCTCAAGCGTGCAAGGGAGATAAGGCTTGAAACTTGGTACAATCATAATAATATATTGTATGCGATGACTGCGAACAATATTTGCATCTAGCATCCGTAATTTTGTTGGGTTTAGCTGGTAAAATCTTCGGAGAATCTGAGATGGCTTCTAGTGATTGAAATCTTGCCTGTAGAAATCTTTTCATTTCGACAAAATCTTGTAATTTATTGGGCTCTTTCAATGATTGTTCATATAGTTTGTTTGTTTCGGAATCCCATTTCCGAGCTAGTATGCGACTTATTATTGGTCTCCATGATGCTGTGTCAATCTTGATGTTTTTCAGAGCTTCCTAACATTCGATGATGGTGTCATGCAGCTGTTTTATTTTTGATGCTGATTCCTGCTGACTCGCCGGAATATCCAAGATTCTGTCTATTAATTTTGAGATGAAAAGTCTTTCGTTGCTGTAACGATCGCTTAAAATTTGCCATGCTGCATGCTGTCTAATAGTTAATGTCTGAAATTTGGAGATGCTGTATGAGTCTGCTGGCTTCTCCTCGAATATGGGTTTTAAGGTACCTGCATATGGGATGCAGTATCTTCTCAATCTGCGTCAGATTTTTGTTTTAATGGACCACCTTCTTGAAGATGTCTCGGAAAGTTACCCATTCTTCATACCGACCATCGAAAAATGGAAACTTCTAAATTTTATTGTATAATAGTTGATAACGACTGGCATGGATGAAAGGAGAGCCATCAAGATGAAAAATTTTTGTTGCCAATAGAGTCTCTGGAATAAACAAACTTGTATCCAGGGAATTCTGGCATCATGTGAAATCAGAAGACAATCCTGCCGATGTAATATCTAGAGTACTAGAGCCATCAAAACTGAAGAGATACGCTCTCTGGTGGCATGCATACCAACTGTACAATCGTTTCCTTGATGGTGTGAGAAGTCTTGTAACTAGAAAAGGTGACAGAGAATGACTGATTACACTATGAGCACCTACTTCTTCTTTGTTGTCGAATACCTGATAGGGTGCGTAGTAACACTCTGTAGTAAGCAGTTGACTGTTAGGTGTGATCGAGTGCAAACGACCGATGATTTCTTCACTTTCAAATCATTGATGATTTTGTCTAGAATCTGGCTAAGTCGATTGATTCGAACTTCTTCTTCCTTCAGTCGTTTTGGCGGAGCTTGCAGCGCTTGGTTTGAGAATGACGCTATTAATAATTTCCATTGCACTAGTTATATTACTATTGAAAATGTTGAGGTTGAAAGTGTATTGAGAAAAATTAGGGAATTAAATGGATAACTGAAAAGAACCACTCTCACCCAAGGTATACTTGGGCACCGCGCAGGCTTGAGAGAATCCTAATCAGTCGGGATGCTGCAACCACAGGGCACTTGCTACAGCAGGGAGAAAATGTTTACCCAGACAAAGCACTTGCTATACAAGGAAGTGACTGAAAAGAACCACTCCCACCCAATGGTAATTTGCGACATTTTATACAATCACACCATCCGGGCAAATTCTGACATTTTTTTTCCCCCGAGCTCATAGAAAGTCCTTCTTGCGCTGTTTTGCTGATCAAGAAGAAATCTCTAATCAGAATAACTTAAGGATATAATAAACATTGACAACAATAGGGAGAAATACATTATATTTATTAAACTCCAAAAAGAGATCTGAGATCTAATGGGCGAACGTATAAAATATGAGAAACGCCAGAACGTGGAGAAATAAATGGAATAATGACGAAAGAGCTTCGTTAAGATAGAAGAAACTACAGTACAAAAATATGAAAACCCTGAAAACGATACAACACTGATAGGCATGCAAAAATCCATGAATTGAGAGACCCAGATGATACTGTAGAGAAATTCTAGAGAACTCTATTCAAAAAGGAATCCTACCCCTGTCGATATAGTTAATGAGAACATTATAAATGTTAGATCTGAAAAATTACCAAACATCACAAGACAGAAAATCTCTGGTAGAGCGCAGAATCACAATTAAATTCATGAACTTACAAGAAACAACTACTACAAAATCCATCAAAATGCTCATGTCTCAATGAAGGCCAAGCATAGTTTTATTTACTAAGGGGGTGTTATTTCAAATTGACAATTATGACCGCCTAATAGGCCTCTTATTGCCAGTCCCATACAAGCTGCTTACCAACATCATTACAATTACATACTTGAGCTACATTACAATGAGAAGGTATGAAGGAAGAGTCTTTTTTTTCAATTGGAGGTAATTGAGAAAAACGGACTTGCCTGGATGATGGTTCGTCGCAGGAAAGAACCTGAATTCAGAGAAGTATTTCAGTTTTTTCAGTTCTCGAGAAGTTTGCCCTTCGGTCTTACGAAAGAAAGACCCGTATTCACTTCGCCAATGAAGCGTCTTATTAGATTGGCAATTTCAAAACAGTTAGGATTTAGTATTCTTGTTTAGACATAGATTCGTTTTTTAAACTTTATTGTAATATCAGGACAACGTGAATCGATAAATTGCCTCCAGGCAAAAATTATTAATTATTATGGAATATTGGAAGTGAAATTTATAGTAGTAAAACAAAAAATATTTTTCAACTAACACTCTCACGTACTGTAAAAGAGGTTATTTAAATTTCTTAAAGCGTCTTTTAGTAAGTGAAAACTTTGGTGCAGGCAATTTTATTTTCGCTATCAAATTATATTTGCACGTACTTTTAAACTTAAAGTGAATTTTGTCTCGAACGTGTAAATATTGCTTCCATAAGCGAAATGGAGCTAGTCACTATACATAATTTGTAAGGGTATCATTCTGATTTTATAATAATGTATAAAGTGGAATTTCTACTTTATCCTTGATAATTTATGATATTTTACCAATGAACGGTTACTTTCAACACGAAAAACTTGAACAATAATTAGATTCACTCTTAGCCAATTAAAAGGCTGACAGATGATACGGAGTCCGGTGTTTATCAACAGCCCATTGTTTCCGATTTTCTGTATCCAACCAGTTTTAACACTGGGGGAGGTGTTTTATGCAACAATTCTACACTATTTTCGAGTGAGAGATATCTCTCTGCTCGCAGCTGAAGCTGAGTAATGAAATATGTATGGCTAATTGTTTCGGGTGACAGGGTGTGTGTACGTAAAATGGTTTTTGAATTTAAACGAAAATTTAATTAATGGGATAGATGTTTTTAGAAAGACTTTTAGGAATTTTGGGAAACGCAAAATATTACGTCGTATATCTAATGCGTTTACGATAGAATGAACATGATATTATGCTCTAATTTTGAGTTTCTACTAAAAGTTTCTCAGAGCATTTTTGTTTTAGATTTTCAAACTTCTCTTAAAGTTTCCTATGTCTTTAAGCTTTCCATCTTTAAATTTTAACATCTTTGTGTCTCTGATATCCCAATTTCTGTGTAGGATCCATCCAATTCTTTCCAAAACGAATATTATACGAGTATATTACGTGCTACTCCAATTCAGTTTACTTAGTTTGCTTGGCGTATATCCTTTCTCTTGAAAGTATTATAAAATAACATTATAGACAGGTTAGAAGTAATTTGAATCGACAACAAATTCCATTCCGAATAGCGTTTCTAATTTCCGCAGTCCTATCCACTAGTTCCAGTCGAAGGCTGATCCAATTTGGGTCCCTTCTGTCAGGTTGGATGCTCAATGTAAATTCGGAGGAGTTGCTCGCAGTTTCCATTGTGGCACAGACCGCATATTTAAAGCGAAAAATGCTATTTATTCAGTTTCGAAACACACTTTTATTTATCTTGGGATTTATTTAGGTGCCTTGGTGCCTATCTTTCAGCTATAATGAGCTGTCGCCGTTTTTACGTGAGCTTTCAGAAAGGTGCTGTTCATTCTTGAAAAGCTACTTCACTTTTAATAAATAGAGATCAGAGAGAAGATAAAAACTTCAACTTTGTAATTTGAATATTGAAATTTAAAAAAAAAAAATTGTTACTATGCTATTGGAAATCTTAATTTGAATTTTTGTGAAAATAATTTTCTTGTTTTGGTACTACAGAAAGATTTCAATGTTTAGAAATACTTTATTTTTCTTTCAGCAAGTGACCTTGATTCTATACGAGCGCTCTTCAATGAAAAAGAGAAGGAGCTATCGTTGGCGGTGGCCAAAGTGGAAGAACTCACCAGACAACTTGAAGAATTGAGAAGAGGAAGAACGAACAGGGATCCACCGCCTGCTTCAGCTTTAGAACTTGATAAATTGAGACGAGAGTTGATGGTAAGTCTTCCAATAATTACATATTATAGGAGTTATTCGTCGGTTAGGACAAGGACGAATCACCCCCTTCATTGGATACCGAGAGGGCACAAACTTCACTTAGTCATGGTATATTATGTAATATGTGTTGTAAGAAGCCAATTGCGCACGAATGGAGAAATTGAGCTATTGAGTGCGTAACTGCTTCATTACTCGAATTATGACCATATAATGGTGTTTCACGAACATCGAAACAGAGGCGTTTTGGGGTATTTTAAGGTCGATTTGAAAAAAACGCTCGGTCACGTCAATTTTGTATTCATTTAACCCCATCATCGGTATTTCGCTTGGTGGAGTGACTTTCATCCCTCTTTTTTAGATGGAGAAGATGGGTCTGGTGGTACCTTGTTTTAAAGGTATTTTGATTCTCGTTACAACCCTGTACTTTTGAAAATCAAATGATTAGTTTTCAAGATATTTACTGTCAAAGTTGCCAAAGGCTAAATAAGAAACAATCTTCTGGCCCTGTTATTCTCAAAATAACACTGACTTTCTTTTCGGACATGTCAATTTTTTCTTTTTTTGGAAGCACACAAAAAAATAAAATTGATATGTCCGAGAGGAAAGTCAGGAAAGTGTTAATTTGAGAATAACAGGGCCAGAAGCTTGTTTCCTATTTAGCCTATGGCAACTTTGACAGTAAATATCTTGAGAACTAATTATTCGATTTCCAAAAAAAGTACACAGTTGTGACAAGAATCGAAATACCTTTAAAACAAGGTGCTACTCGATCCATCTTTCCTATCTTAAAAAGAGGGGTGAAACTCACCCCACCCAGGGGGTGCACCCTAGTGAAATACCGATTGGGTCAAAAGGTTTCCCCCTTGAATGCAAAATTGACGCGTCCAAGCGTTTTTTTTGAATCGACCCTGGAATACCTCAAAACGCCTCCGTTTCGATGTTCGTGAAACACCCTGTGTAAAGTTTACTTTGGTATAGTATGTTGAATTAGTGGGGTGGGCTACTTACGTCTCCCCGGGAAGGATGCAGGTGCCTGGCTGACTAGACTACGCGATTTCTATAACCAGTAGTGTCATCCCAATTTATATATTATTTGCTGTTTTATTCCACGTATTATTTAGATGTGCTGTTGGATATTGATTATCACCATTTGAAGAAATAAAAGTTATGTGACGCCCATGTCCTTTATTTGTTTGATGTATGCCGACCAGATGTTTTCTTAGTGTTTCAGTTCGGATTAAAAATACTCTACTAAACTTAATACATTGAAAAACTTTGAAACTGAACTAAAGGAAACACCAACTTTTTTCTTTGATCACGTTACGTACTTCTGCAGGTAGAAAATATCGCTTCTGCCTCTTGGAGCTTGGAATTTCTGTCTGTAATACATGTAAGGAATGTGTTCAATCTAGTCAATTCTCCATTGAATCCAGCGATGGTTCAGAGTCGGCGTAAGTGTCCAAATGATTATATGGCCTCTTGTGATACGCTTTGTGGATTATGTGGCGCCTTCTGCGGGGTGTCATTCTTGCCAGATCTAAACTCCAATGTGTGGTCGCTCTTTCGATGTTTTTCTCTGCATGAAGCCTTCATGTGATTCCCTTGCTTGTCTCTGCAATGATGTTCTGATAATTGCCTTGTATCATTATTCAGAAAAAGCCGACTGATGTTTCTGTTGCTTGAGATAAAGCTATTGTTTTACCAGCTGCTCAGATGGTGGCAGTCGTTGGAATTGTTGAAAAGTTGCGGTGGGATGATCCTGATCTCTCAGTAAATGCACTATTCCAAAATCAGATCAATTTTTTCCTAAGTTCTCTCTGATCCGTTCATTCGTTATGCGGTTATTATGGGTGCTCTTTCGTTCGTGCAGCGATTGCATGATTTTCCTCTATCTTCTGAACTGCTTCTGCATTTCCCACGCACAGTGGTTGCCCGGAAAAATTTTTTGCTCCTAACTTCATCGACGACGGCCTTGAGCCGCGCCTATTTATTGGAACCCTGTTTTGCTCGAATCTTCGAATACCGTATTCTCGTATAGAGTCTTCTCATCAAAGTTTCTTTCATGACAGAGTATTTTTGGTGAGCTTCCAAAATGCTAAACTGCAATGTCTCGGATCGCATATTCCAGTAGTTTTCGGGTATTTTCTTCTCTAACTCTTGTCCCAATGGTTGTACTGGATTGTGATCCGGAGTAACTTCTTTAAGTGTTCCTATTTGCAAGTCTTCTGCGACACGCCAAATAAGAGCTAATATCCAATGCTGTTGGGAAACCACCCTACTATATGGATCGATAGTCTGGTTCAAAAAACTTGAGAAGCAGAACATAAAAGCAGCTCTCAACAAACTACATCAGCGTCTAGCGTGCGTATGCATCACGGGCGCAATCAAAACTTGTCCTACAGCAGCCATCGAAACAATTGTAGGACTCGCACCTCTTCACATCTTAGTGGAGGGAGCAGCTTGACGAGCAATGACTAGAACCATGAGAGATGAGACTGGCGAGGCAGATTGGCTAGGAAGGAGAGAATTAGCATCTCTAAGCAAGCTTATTCCGCTGCTCGAGCGCCCCAGGGATGATATGATCAGCACATATAATTTTGAGAAACTTTTCACAGTAGTCATAAGAACCAGAGCTGGTTGGAAAAAAAATACCACATCCATTCCTACAATGGACCAGAAATCCGTAAAATGGTATACTGGTGGGTCAAGAACTGCAGGAACCGGAGCCGGAGTACTTGGGCCTAGAATCAAGTTTTCCGAAGCAATGGGAAAACACCCAGACTTATTTCATGCCAAAATAAACATTATTTTTTTTAGTAGTCATGCTGAGTTCAATCTTGACAGACAGTACAAAAAGAGAGAGATTTTCATAATTTTAGACATTCAAACAGACATCAAAGCGCTGAGCTCACCAATAATCAGCTCCAATATGATTTAGGAATGCCTGGACAAGTCAAAGAAACTGGGCAAAAAAAAAAAACAAACTATCCTTCCAGTGGATACCAGGACACGCAGGGATTGCAGGTAATGCAAGGGCGGACCAATTGGTGAATTTAGGAGCACAGAATCCGCTTTCAGAACCACAGTCTTTTTATGGAATAGGGACGCACACCTATAAGGAAGCTTTCAGAAAGAAAGAGCGGATCAAATGGATCAGGGAACAGCTTCAGGGTTAAGGCAATCAAAAATATTTCTTGGGCTGCCTAACCAAGGAAGATTAAAAGATCTTATATTACTGAGTAAAAATAATCTTCGCATTCTCACTGGATTTCTTACAGGTCACTGCCGGTTAAGAGATATCTTCAGAGAATTAAAATCGAAAACGAAGACAGCTGCCGGTTCTATAAGGAAGGGAAGGAAACTACAGAACACCTTCTCATGGAGTGCGAGGCGATCGTGAACAAACGAATTAATTAGACGGGAAGAAATTCCATCCATAAAACCATCCAGCTTATTTGCGTTCATAAAAGTTTAAAAGCTGAATGACTTGCTTTGAGTGAGAATCCTACCCACTGAATCACCCAGATCTACGCAGGTCGCAGTGTAACAATACCCCTAATTCATTCATTCAACCACGTTGGTCAATCCAGTCCGATACCGATGGCTCTTCTTGCTCCTGTGTACTCCACTACCTCATCTCCGTTCGTATTCCTAATGTTCTCTGGGAGATAAGTAAGCTGAAGCTACTGTCACATCTGGCTGTCTTGATTTCAACGGTTAACTTCTTCAATGGTGTCTAGAAAAGAATGTTCCCTCTAAATGACGTTTTTTGTTTACCATTCATCATGTGTTTTTGCAGTGCCATGATATCCGGTTTGTGGCTTTCCAATAGCTCTTCATCTTTAACTTAAATAGATCTCTGGCATTATTGGGGATCATCTGTAGTGGATGCTTCACATCGGTGTCTTTCTTACCACTGGCTGCTAGTAACGATCTCCTTGATCGTTGGGACCAGAGCCACCATGATCGTTAGAATCAGGTCTGCTGATGTATTTGCGCATTCTGGCGGAGAGTCGATAGAACTGCAGATTCCTCTACCACAAGATTCGTTCGACGTATTTGAACCTTAGATACTGCGTCTTCACAATACAGAACGGCATCAGTTGTTTTTTTTTTATCAGTCGACTAAGGAATTTTAAGCTGCGAAGCCATTATCGACAAGGTTGTCCTCAATTTCCAAGAGGTGAAGGATGACCGCATGTTGGGCTTCTCCTCATCCAAGGATCGGATAAATGACCTGTTGTATTTTGGCGTCTTTGGGCAGATTCTGGAGATCTTACCCAACACTGGATGGTCACGACATCTTTTACCATTTTGGGAAAGACGGATTGTCTCAGCCCTCATCTTTTTTTGGAGTTTTCAGTCTCTGTCCTTGATCAATCAATCAATACATGCTTTATTGTAGAAGGAATCAAATTCTCATTTACAAAGCGGACATCTATGAGCTACACGGAAATACTCAAAAAATTAATTAGTTAACAAAATCACAAAAAAAAAGAAAAAAAAACAAATAAGAATTTTAGAAAAGAAATTTAGAAACCATCAAAGGGTCATAAAATTACAAACAACATGAAAACATAAATTAAACTATAAAAACAAAGCAAAATGGAAAATGAGCAAAAAAGAAAAACATCGTCATCAGGCAAGATCATTACTACGGCACTCCAACTCCAGTAATATTGTCATTAAAGTACTCATTAATACTAAAATATACTTTAGCCTGCAATAACAATTTCACCTTCTGCCTGAATTTCTTAGTATTCTCGTTACTCCTACATGACATGACAATGGTAGGTGACTGCAAATTATAAGGCTCTCATATATCACAGATTGTTTAGTGAGAGTACTCTTTGGTATTGGTAATTTTAGAGATCCTTCATTTCGACCATATTGATTACATAAATAAGGTGAAATTCTATGGCTTTTGTGTATCATTTTCACCGTTTCCAATATTAAAATGCAGAAGAAAGTTAGTAATTTTTCCCTTATAAGAAGAAGTC